GTTGGTGTTCATGCAGTCTTGTGCAGAGGCGTTTACCGTTTCACCAACATACTTTGCAATGCAATTTTGGCATGGTATGCTGTAACCCACTGCTGATTGTTCCGTTGTCTGTAGCGGGTCCTTGGGTCTCATTATCTGCTGTCGGATGGTCGAATCCGGTTTATGGGCCACCCCAATACCGAAAGGGTTCAGTAGTCGAGCTGTCGCCTCCGAAAATTTTCTCACGTAGGGGATCGCTTGCCAAAACTTCGGTTTTTCGTCGTTTGGTTGATTTCGGATGGGCTTTCGGCGACACTCACGTATGAAGGACCGCGGATAACCTTTAGATATGAACAAGGACTTGAGGTATTTCGCCTCCGCCTTTTTCCAGTCGTCATCGCTACAGTGTGTTTGAATTCGTTGGAATAGAGTTCTGAAACAACTGCGTTTGTGACCAATTGGGTGGTTACTTTGGAATTGTAGAATACGTTTGGTGTTTGTTTCCTTACGATAGACCGTAGATTTGATCCTCCCTTCGGAAGTCCTCTTGACATGCACATTCAGGAAAAGTAATTGGTTGTTAGCTTCTTCCTTCATCGTGAATTGTATGTCGGGGAATATAGAGTTCACTAAAGTCTTAAAGCTGTGAACGTCGTTCCTTTGAATTACAAAAAATGTGTTGTCGACGTATCTGGCCCAAGATTTTGGACAGTAAGCACGGAATATGAGTCGCTCTAGCCTCTGCAGGACCGCTTCGGCAATTAGCCCAGACAGGAGGGAGCCAATCGATGTTCCCTTCTTCTGTTCATAAACCTGCTCGTTGAAGGTGAAGAAAGTCCTGAGGCACAATTCCAACAGTTCGGTGATGTGCTGTCGTTTAAGTTGCTGGTTATCGTCCTCATACTTTTTGGCAAGAAGTTCATCCATTGTGTTTACCGCGAGGGCAGTTGGAACAGAGGTGAATAAGGACACCATGTCAAACGATACCATCATCTCGTCTGAATCTATTTCAAGATGCCATATTTTCGTCAAAAAACTGTTCGGCCGACTCAACTGTATATTCGAAGTCTTCGGTGAGGAAACGGAACCTCTGGTAAAGCCACTTTGACAGTCTAAACGTCGGAGTGCCACGCAATCAGACGATGGGGCGAAGGGGCACTCCTGGCTTATGCACTTTTGGCAGACCGTAGAAACGAGCCATCACGGCGTCTGGGGCTTTTGCGGTCAGTATCTCCATTCTGTTGAGGGCCCCAGACTTCTCCAATTTGTCAATCGCCCTGTTGACGCTGATCACGTGTTTCTTGAATTCTCCAGCACCGGAAAGCTGGTAGGCACCTTCGTCTCCCAGCAGCCGTTGTAGCTTCGCCGTGCACCCAGTCTTATCCATGACCACTGTTGAGCGTCCCTTGTCAGCTGGCAGGGTGACGATATCTTTCCTCTTTCGGATTCGCATAAGTTCTCGGCCTTCTGCCTCGGAGATCGTCGTCTGGGGCTTGTGCTTACGGAGGAGAGTTCACACCTGCTGTCGCATGGCGTTCTTACTCTCTTCGTTTGCTTCACACCTCTGGAGCGCCGATTCGAATGATGCGATATAGTCAACGGGGCGAGCATCTCCCGTGTTAAACTTAGTGTCGTAGGACACGACTGCCGACTGTTGAGAGGTTATGAACCAGAACACCATCAGTAGGGGACTGAATTGTTGGACATATTATCGCGAACTTCTGAAGCAGTTGGCTGTCGCGTAGCTGGCGGTGACATGGGAGACTTTTGCCAAACGAGAATCATTCGCCTACGCTCAGCTGAAGTTCCTGCACCGTTGCTTTGATGAGGATGTTTTGCCCAAATGCCTCCGTTATAGCCTGCCAGTCAAAACTGAACTCTGTCGACGGACAGTGGCAGAATTCAAAAAGAAGATCATCAGGGTCTTGATACAAGACTGCCATTTGCGGATCCATAAATACCAACGAGAAATACAGCAGCTTTCCTCTACTTGCCGGTCGACTTTTACTGCACACGAGCTACAGATCCTAGAAGCGACGATAACCGGTAACGCGCAGAGTGAATGTGCCAAAAACAGCTAACAGGTAACATCGAGAGTTCGTGAGAAAGTCGATAATGCCCTGGCGTGGCGCTTGCGCCAATACCCTGTTGTCATTTTTTTCATTCCACTCGGATTAGCTCGCGTCTCGATCACTTCTGCTTGAGACCTCGGTATGGCGATATGCCTGTTCATGTATGATGCGTCCGAGTGCATAGCTTCGAAAAATTCGCGGCCTTTCTTGAAAGGGCAGACAGCAACAATACGAGTTTTGTCCCACGCGAAGGTTTCCCGGTGTCCAGGATATGCATGGCGGCCTGGGACAGGTGATCTCGTCTTCTTACCGCCAACTAGTGTTCATGAATGCGCGCCGAGGCGGATTTTTCCGTCTGGCCACAATACACGGTATCGCACAATCCACATGAGATTTTGTAGACAACTTTTTTCCTGTCTAATAAGTTCACCCTATCCTTAGGTTGTACTGGGTGGATGCGTAACGCCAATGTTGGTTTATGAGCCACCCTGATTTGGTGCGTCCTTAGGTGTCTTTCGACGAGTTCAGATACATTTTTGATGCAAGAAGGCTTCACCAATTATACGTTTTGGACGTTTGATTGTTGCGGCCTGAGTCCTTTTTCTTTGATCCTTGGCGCGTCGGCGTATGAATTTTCTGAGGTAGCCGTTTTGTGAAAATAAGTCGAACAAGTAATTCCTTTTGCCCTGATAGCCCTATTTGTCTGAATAATACGTTCTTGCCAGATGTAGCAGACTGTTGCTCTCATAGTTTAGGACGACTTCTGGATACGTTTCTTTGCGGTAGACAGTTGTCCGTAATGTTCCATCCAGTTGTCGTTGTAAAAGGGCATCGAGGAAAGGGAGTTTGGCGTTGGCTTCATTTCAAGCGTGAATTTAATTCCCGGAAGCGTGGCATCGAGTACGTTGTGTAAGTTTTCCAGTTGATCCTTTCTCACGATAACGAAGGTATCATCAACATATCGCAGCCAACACTTAGGACTGACTAGCGGAAGCGCTATGGCCTCGAATCTCCACACTGTCACCTCAGCAAGAAAGCCTGATATAGGTAACCCCATAGGAGCTCCATTTAGCTGCTGATAATATTTGTTGTCGAAAGAAAAGTTGGTCTCTAAGCACAAGTCCAAAAGTTCGAGTAAGGCAGTTGAAGGGACATCCGTCGGGTAGGATTGTGGAAGTTCTTCTGTACATTGTCTTGATACATCGAGTGGTGCAGATGTGAACAAGGAGAAAATGTCAAAAGAGACCATTATTTCATCAGCTGAGATTGTGATTCCTTGTAATTTGTGTAGGAATTCTATGGAATTTGCAATGGAATTTTTAGAGTTTCTTGTGAAGGGGCGGAGATGCTGAAATAACCATAGATACATTTTTAGTTGGGTGCTCCGATTAATGATACAATTTGCCGCAGGGGGATTTCGGGTTCATGCAATTTAGGTAGTCCATACGTCTTAGCAATGTTTGGAGTTGGTAAAACCTCTTGAAACTTGTTTCAATCCAATGCGACGCTTCAACACTTTGTCAATAGATGAATTTGAGCCTTGGTAGGGTCTGTCAGAAGAGGCTTGTAGGTCGACGCGTCTTTTGACAAGGACAACTACAACAAAAATTGTTGTAGTCGGCTTTGTTCAAAATAGCGGTTGCGCCTTCTTTGTCTACGGTGACAACGATGATGGTTTTGTTCGAGTTGACGGACTCAAAGCCTTCTGTTCTTCATGTGAGAGTACTTAGTACTGATTTCGGTCTTTCAGGGCCTTCATGGCATTGTTTCAAATAGTAAATTGCTCGTCTTCTGTGAGATTTGTTGTTGATATAATGCACTCTAAGATCGCAAGTAAGTCCAAATGATTGGAATCAGAAAATGTGTACTTCATTCCCTTGGAAATCACATTTTCTTCGGATGAGTATGCTTCCACATTGCACGCAATGTAAGGTATCTTATATCGTCCAGTTAAAATAGCGCTCGAACGCAGAAAGCATAGGGCACACAAAAATGTCCAGCTGCTTCTTTATTTCTATGCTCCTGACGATACGTTGGACTAAGTAAACCAGATTTTCACTTGATACTGTTGATTGAGAAGTCAACTGGGTAAGGTATTTCGTAAGTTCACATGTAAAGATGCCGATCGGTGGCTAATTAATTTAAATTGGATTGTCAGATTCGGTCATAAACGTACCCCTTGTGTACATTGAGGGAAATTTTCTTTCGTCACATTTCATTTTAATTATTTAGAGAGTATAATTATGACGAGGTTCCGATCTTTCCTGGAATGTTGCGTAAGCCTTTACGATTTTCAATATTTCTACTCGATTGTCCATAAATATCGATTATGTCCTACGTGCTAATCAAAAATTCCAAAAAATGTATTTCTTAAAAATATTTACCTCAATAGTGAGTCTCAAACATTCTTTATTATACAGCAGTCTGTTTGGGTCATGGTTTTAGAATCACCCAAAAATTTCAACTCATTGCCGAGAAAACTGAAGGTCTGCAACTAAAATCTCGAACTAATACGCCTTAGGTTAACTTAAAAACTTTCTATAACAAGCTACCTCTTGAAAAACCCCTAATGGGATATTTCAGCGTCGAATATCTGTGTGTTTTACCTTTTTGAAGATCGAGTCAAGATAAGAATGATAAACTATGACCAGTTTTTTTGAATTCCCTAAAAAGTGGGGATAAATCTTCCCCTGAAAATAAAATTACTCATATCGGAGCAGTTTTCAGCATACTTGCTAATTTCTAGGCTCTGTTCTAAGATTGCAAAAGTACAGTAGAGTGACAGATTATAAAATGCGATTTCGAGCCAACTAATAAACTTCTGCCCGTTCCATTTATCAGTAACGGAGAAAACTGATGACACTTCGCGGTTGTTCATATGTATGCTTGATTACGGCCCCTATTTTCAGCGTAATAAAACAATTACGGTCTTATAAGTTTATTATTTAACTTTATGGCACTAAGCGTATCAGCTTTGCAAAACATTTTTTTAAAGTTAAAGTCACCTGGTGACCATTCTGGTGGATTCTCTATGATTACTTAGGAAG